TCAATTTAAAAATTCGATATAATTTTTCAAAAAATGATCGACATCGCAAATGCCCGGTGACTTTTGATACCCCACTGAACATACATATTGTATTATATAAAAAAAAATTTTATTTATATACAATCATTTTTTTTTACAATAAACAACTCTACATAATACGATTTATTTTACAATAAAACATTTATTGATTTATCTTGTAGTAGGTAATAAATAAATTAAAGATGTACTGTTTTGCTACTACCAGTAAGAATTTGAACAACACAATAACTCGTTCGTTTTTATTCACCAATAAAGAAAATCATTATTTACAAAGAAATCAGAAAAAAAAATAAACTGTTTATATTTGTGTATATGCGCCTCAAGGTTTTACTAAATATTTTTTTTTGCTATATATTGAATATCACTACTTTAAGAATCACTTTTTTTTCTACGGATTAAATATATATATATTTTTTTATTTAGTACCCCAAACTTGTGACTTAGAATCAGATTGTCACATCAAATTTGTGATTTGATAACGCTGTGAATATTACGCACAGAAAATTCCCTACTTTCAGTTTAAAATTTATTTATTATATATGTATAAATATTTATATACATATATAGTTAGTAATTTTTGGAAAAACGATGATTCCTTTTTAATATTGCTAAAATTTTTTATTACATCAATTTGTGATTTGATTATTTAACGCTTGACGCGTAACCTAAAATTTTTTATTATACAAAATAAATATAAAACGACAAATTTTCGTCAAAAAAAAAAAAAAAATTAAAAAAAATTCCTAAACATTTAAATTATTAACTCATAAATCTATTAATCCTCAAATTGAAATAAAATTTGAAAATGTATCAAAATCCAACAGAAAATTATGAAAAACACGAAAATATTGTTTTTACGCCGAGAGATAATAATCCTTCAGTAACTGCGGCAATCGCAACTAGTAATGATGAACGATATCCTACGACCTCTTTTGCAAATAAATCATCTCACAATCAACAATTTACCAGTCATATTTCTAACGAGCAACAAATTTTAGAACAGAACCCACCAAGTACCTATTCCCCACACAATAATCCTCCAATCCATTCACCTAGCATGAATAATGCCAGCCCTTCCCAAATACAAACGGTTGAAATTCTCGGTTATGAAATTATTATAATCCCCACATCATCTTCGTTGGCAAGTTTAACCAGTTTAGGCGTGCAACATCAACTTCAACAAGACAACGCTTATTTGGATCATTCGGTTAATCCACCACAATTAAATCAAGAACGGAATTATACCTTTGCAACAAATGAATACGATCCAACTTTGCAATACCCGTCTCATGCGCCACAGTCTCCTCAAATACAAACGGTTGAAATTCCCGGTTATAAAATTTTTATAATCCCTACATCCTCTCCATTAGCAAGCTCAACCAATTTCGACATGCAACGTCAACTTCAACAAGGCAATACTTACTTTGATTATTCTTCTTTTTCAGTTAATTCACCACAATTAAATCAACAACACTATTTTTCTAGTGCATATGAAACTTCTATAAGTGAAAATGTTGTTAACGCTCATAATCACGTTTCAGATAATACACAGCCCCAACAAAACTATTTAGGATTAAATGAGTCGCTTAACAGTTTCCAACAACTTTAACTTTTTGTCTGGTCACATTTTAAATTTTGATTTCTTCATTCATTTTTTTCAATATATTTAGTATATTTTATTTATTCATTGTATGATTTATTACTTATAAATAAAGTTTATCCTTTATAAAATTTTTTTTTTTTTGGATAGTCCAATCACATGCGTTGAAATACGTTTTTGATTTTGTTTTTAGCACCAAAAAATGATTAACTTTCAGGAAATAAAAATCTTGCAATGCTTTATTTTGTTTTAAAATAATAATTTTAAGCAAATATTTTATAAATTTTAATTTCGGTTAATATAACAGATTTGTCCATTCCAAAAAAAATCTGTTATATCGAAAGTTGTTATACAGTATTGAGAAACGTATTTAATGTGACGGCAAAGCAGTGTTGTCATGGGACATTGTTGGGACATGATCTGGCATAGAAAATGTAATCACTGCGGCTAAGCGATACGATTTACTTAATATAATGCACCTTTAATCTCATGTTCTTCCTTTAATATTCTAGATGCTATTTTAAGATAATTAATGTAAAAAACTTGAGGGAAGAGGCGAAATTGTAGAAAACCAGTCCAGTAAACACATATTTAGCATGACATGGTTAAACAGCAAACAAGAAAAGCTTAAACATACAGTCTGGTGCAAAAGTCTTTGGACAAATATTTTTTGACATAACTTCATAACGACTGCGCCAAATCATGATAAAATATTTATTCGAAAGCCAAAAAGCAGAAGATTTTATTAAAAAAAAAAAAAGTAATAGGGAATGCGTTCCCCATTTTTCTCAATTATAAGCTTACATCTCTCCTTCATTGAACCAACTAGACTTTTAATAATGTCCTATGGAATTTTTGACCATTCCTCCTTCATAAAATTTCCAAATCCCCAATATTTTGTGGCTGCCGCATCTCAACGTTTCTTTTAACAATTGCCCATAAATTTTCTATGGGGTTCAAGTCTGGTTTGTTAGATAGTCAGTCCATAACAGCTGGAACTTTTCTTTGCAAGAAATCCTTAGCTACATTGCTCGTATGCTTAGGATCGTTATCCTGCTGGAGTCGCCAATTGTTACGTAGCATCCTCTTGATCTCAGGAAGATGCTTCTTTATTATTTCAACATAGAATTGCCCAGTTATATTCTCTCGGAAGCAGTAAAGACTGGTTGTTCCCTGATTACAAAATCCACCCCACGCGTTGATTCTTGTCCGGCCCTTTGGGATGCGACAAACCGGTCGTTGACCCTTATACCAATATTCCATAGTGTTACTAAATGACCAAAAGGATGTTTCGTCTGAAAAAAGAGTGCGATTCTAGTCATCATTCATATGGTTTTGGGCTCATCTTATACGTTTCTGTTTATGCAACCTTGTAAGCATCGGGGTTGCAATGGGTCACTTCTTATCATAACCAAGGTTGGTTAAATGCCGCAAAACTGTACTGTAGGGCACATTTACACCATTTAGCGAAAATTTGGACGCTAATTTTCTAGAAGAAACTGCTGAATTTCTTCTAATATACTGTCCAAGAGCTTTTGAGCTCTCTGAAATGAATTTTTTGGGGCGACCGGGGCTTTTTTGTGAATGACACTTCCGGTTTTTTTCAAAATACTAGTAACATTGGGTTGCTACAATCTCTTCCACTCATCAGGTTTTTCAGGCAAGCTCGGTTGAACTTTCTTTAAGATATCCTTCATGATCTCTGCAGTAAAGTAATACCAATACAACAACAATATCAATATAATATCCTGGCTTGATCCTTTCAATATCGAGTATGTGCTCCAACAATAATACCAAATAATATTATGGTGTAGATGCGTTTTCATGCATGTTGTTCGTCCATTGGGCAAGTTGAGATGCTGGTGTATTCCTTTTGATTGTATATTTACCTTGGTTACTTTTTATTTTTTGGTAACACGCCATCCAGGTGACTGGATAGGAATAGGAGCATATGCTTATTCTTAATAAATTTCAATTGCTGAAATCTGACATTAGTTTTGGTTTTGCGATACTTCAGAACTTTGGTTAATGTAATACTAATTTGATATCATTGATATCAACTATGAGAACATTTAATGAACCCCCAAAAAGCATGGTTAAATATTTAGTTATGCATTAGTTGTTGCTATATATAAAGTATATTCCATTAAAAAAGATATTCATAAATATTATCCTCAGCGAGTAGCTACCCTTTTTTTAAAAATAAAAAAAAATTGATTGGAAGGAAAGTTTTAGTGCTACAATGCAGTATGTCATCATATATGCAAGTTTATCTTATTTCTAACCAAAAATATCAATTGTAATATTTCTTATTAGAAATTCTATTCATTTAACATTATTTTCGTAACATGCATGTAAAATCATTTATTGCTAAATTTGGCTTTATAATGGGTTTGGGTAAACGTTTTGTAAATCATTTACTTAAATTAATTAATCTTGACCTAACGAATTTTGATTGTTTTAGTTGAGAAATTTGAGGCTTTTTGAAATTTTCTTTATAGAAAGAAAACAATCAATTTTAGATGATGGATAAATCTGCAATCTTAAAAGTTTATTACGAGATCGTGAGAATTTTTGCAATGGTTATTTCTATATTTAAATTCGAGAAAAAATATCTTTTTTTTGTGTGAAACGCAACGCAAACATTTTTTAATAATAAATTTGATTTTTGTTTAATAAGCTGATATATTATCGCGATTCATCAATCATTGTGTTTCGATTCTTCCGTTTTGCGCGTGATACACGTGGTTATAGTTTAAAGACGAGATTCCCGTAAATGAAAATTCACTCCCTGAAAGTATTCCGATTCTCTGGCTGTTCATCCCTAATAAAACCAAAAGGCGACAAAAAAAATATGTTAGATTTTCGGGTCCCTCCGGCTCTATTCTATATTTATTTGTAAAGGATTTGATTCTTTTTATGTTTTAAAAAAGTCAACTTTATGATGATCATTCGTTTATCCAAATATGAAATAAAATCATTTCCAGTTTCACGAAATTTTTTTTTTTTTTGGCCCTTAGAAGTTTCCTTAATTGATTGTTCAAAAGACTACAATACGCTACATGAAAAGTGTCCCGAGTCATTGTTTGATAATTAAAAAGATTATCAACAAAATCTATTACTGTAATTAGAGTTAAAATGCAACCAAAAAAAAAAATTTGAGTAGCAGGAGTTGCGCAGTTTTCCAATTAAAATATTTTTGAAGTTTTAAAATTTTATTTCATATTCAAGTCGGTAGAAAGTTTTAAAAAAATAAAATCATAGTGTAAACATATTCTTATAAATGCATAGATAAAAAAATTTTTTTTTCGATTTTTTTTTTTTTTTTTTTTTGTATCACATTTTTTTCGAAAGGTAAATTAATTGAAAGCGAAAGAGTGGGAAGGGAGAACGGAAATATAGCGATCAAATCAATCGATCTAAAAAAAAAGGGGAGAACATGAATTAATCTAATCATAAAGGTTCATCGTCAATAAGAATTTTTTTTAGAAAAAGGAATTGGTTTCTAAAAAAGAAACGAGTTTTTAATTTTCAGATTTCTTATTCGCAAGGATATCAGAATCAATTGATGCCTCGGTGGAATTTGTTGACTTGTTAGGAGTAGTAACGAACTTATTTGTTATAAAGGTTACAAATTTTTGTATATCGTCAATGCTCATTTTTGATAAATCCATGTTTCCAAACGATGATGATGATATGGTTTGAGTAAGACCGTTGTTCTGATAAATTGAAATGTTTGAATCCATTGTACTGAACAAATCGCGAAAATTTTAAAGAATAAAGTCATTTACCTTGAATTCATTACTAATTTCTCCGGTAACTTTCTTGAGGTTTTTAATCAACTCTTCAATTCTACTCATTTTAGAATTAATCATCTTTACAATATTTGCTGAATCTTTACATTTAGCACACAGTCTCTTTCGTCCTGCCAAGAGAATTTGCGGTTGTGTTGCAGGTTCTGTATTCGTTCCAGTACTCTCGTTTGTCGCGTTAGGGTCCATAATCATTGAGGGACTTGTGGTTTCTGTCGAAAGACCTTGTTGACGAGTTTGAGACCTCGTTGAATACGGAATCGAATAAGGTTCGCTTTTAAACGAACCTTTATTGGTACGGCTAACACGATTCAATGAAGAGTTATTTCTACGAGAACGAGGTTTCTTGTTCCTTGGCATCGAAGAATTAGTTTCATGATTATCCGAAGAAACCTCGATGACCGAAAAGGTTGAAGCTATAGGTTCTTTTAACGAATTGTTATTGGGATTAGGAAATGAACCTGTAGAAATCGTTGCTTCTTTTTTATTACTATTAAGGGGGAATGACTGCTGAAATCGATTATGATCAGACATATTATCTTTTTTTTTTTTTATTTTATTTTATTTTTTATTTTTATTTTTTTTTACTTAAATTATAATATTACTTATCATAATAAAGTTCCCAAATTTAAAAAAAAAAAATTTATGAATCCTTAAATCTGATTCGAATTGTTCTTGTTTTTAGCGAGCCCCCCCCCCCCCCCCCCCCCCCCCCCCCCCCCCCCC